TTGATGCCTGTAGAGAAGGTGCTTAGCAGCCTGTATAAGTTTCCTTGTTGCTGCTGTAACAAATTACCACAAACTTGGTAGTTTAAAAGACAGATTTATCATCTTATAGTTTTGAAGATTAAAGTCTACAATGAGTTTCACTGGGTGAAAATGTTACCTTTTGGAGGTTCTAGTGGACAATCCATTTCCTTGCTTGTTCTAGCTTCTAAAGTTTTCCTGCATTGCTTGCCTTGTGACTTTCCATCTTTAAAACATGTTCCATTAAGTCTCATATTTTCTGGTTCAGACACATAGTCCCTCATCTCCATCTTATGCTTATAAGGACCCATGTGGTTACTTTGGGCTTACATCAATAATGCAGGATAATTTCCCCATCTCGATATCCTGAATTTAATTTCATCTACGGTATTCCTTTTGGCATGTAAAGTGTGTAAAATAACACATTCACAGGTCCTAGGAATTAGAACATGGACATTTCCAGGGGAGCATATTTCTGCCTACTGTAGTGCCCAATATTCATTGTAAGGGTTTGCTATAGTTAGCTATTATTAGAATTACAGACTTTAAATTGTTTTTGTTAAAGAGCTGAAACACTCTTTAGCCATACAATGTTGATATAATTGGCCTTCTGCTAATAACTTGGCATAAAAGAGACATGATTATCTTATTCTAAAAGTGGATTAAGTGGTTCACTTTTGAAAATTAGCTATTTTATGATACAGGGATGCACTTACAATAAAAGGATATTACTATTTATTTAAGAGTACTTTAGCAGCCCCAAGGAAGACAATTTTACTAATACTATTATCATTATGTAGTAATGACTAACAGTTATTAAGAAATTACTATATGCCAAGATCCATATCAAGTATTTATATAATGTCTTGAATACATATATATTTTATAGTTGTACATAGATACAGATATATAGATGTAGCTAGCTCCAGGTGGGAAGTACTTTTATCTTCTTTATTTCATGGCAGTTGAGAGTTTACCTAAAGTTTCAGGGCTGGTAAATGGTAGAGATGGAATTTAAATCCGCGTTATCAGGCAGCAGGACTTGTACTCTTAACCACAGTGCCATAAAAATAGGAATGTAGAAAAGGATGTCGTCACATTAGAAGAATGAACACTTTATTCTGGGCTAATAGCTCTCACCATTTTCACATAGCTTATCATGGGTGCAGGTTGATAGTGTTTAGTCTTATTGAATTTTAGTTTTTGTGTTTAAAAAAAATCATAAGCCAGGTGTGGTAGCAGTGCATGCCGGTAATTCTAGTGATTTAGGAGGTTGAGAGAAGAGGATCTGGAGTTCAAAGCCAGCCTCAGCAACTTATGAAGGTCCTAAGCAACTCAGCAAGACCCTGTCTCTAAATAAAATACAAAATAGGGCTGGGGGTGTGGCTCAGTGATCAAGTGCCCCTAAGTTCAATTCCTGGTACAAAAAAAAAAAAAAAAAAAAGCATAATAGATGATGTCAGGAGTTGGTTAGTGTCCAGAGATGCTTAAAACCAAAATTTTCCGAACTCTAGATAGGATACAGGGGTGGGAGGGGAAGGGAGGAGGCATGGGGTTAGAAATTATGGTGGGATGTGATGGACATCATTATCCAAAGTGAAGACACAAATTGGTATGAATATATTTTGTATACAACCAGAGATATGAAAAATTGTGCTCTATATGTGTAATAAGAATTGTAATGCATTCCACTGCCATATATAAATAAAAAATTAATTAAAAAATAAATAAATAAAAATTTAAACAAAGAAATGAATAAGACACACACACACACAAAAAATGACCTCAACTTTTTTTTTTTTAAAGAGCCTTGTGCAGTTATAAACTATCTGCTCCTCAGCTGCAGCACTATTGCTTGTACACTGACTGTCCAACCATTAACCCCCCAATATTCAGTAGAAGGCTCACATTCAACAGCGGAGTTGAAGAGGGAATATACTCCATTTTGGGTTACATAAAAAGAAAGGCAGGAATGGCCATAGGTGGAAAGATTTGAGGGAGGTGGAGAGTTTGGTGAGAAATAATAAATAGAAACTATAGATGACCAGACCCAAAACTCAATCTCCGCCAAAACCCAGGGAATATTAACGGGAGCTGGGAACCTCTATATGTAAAAGGGTGTTTCAGTCTGTTACTTAAGTTAAAAAGGAAAAGCAATTTTAAGAACCTGGGTAGCCTGTAAGAATATAGGTCACTGATACGAATATACCTGACATGAAATGCAAAAGAAATGAATGTCACATTTTTTTTCAAAAAACAAATACCCCTCCCCCAAATTTCTCAGAGAACTCATGCTTTTATTTATTTATTTATTTATTTTTTTGAGTTCAGGCTGTTGAAAACATGTCCCTCCCAAAATATACTTTAAGAACATTAGCTATGGCAACTGTCATATATTACCCTTTCATCAATCCTGCCAAATAGCTTTGGTACATAAAGTTTATGAGCAGGGAAACTGCCTTTTCTTTTTTTAAAAAAGTTGTTACACAAGCCAATGTTTTCTAAAAAAGTAGAAAGGATTTAAGGTAAACAAATGTTATTGACACTTTCATCACTGTGGCTGGGCTAAAAAGATGAGGGCAAGACTACTAAGAAGGCCAGTTATTATAAGAACAGCTGTTGAAATATTTCCTATGATAAGAACTCATCTTAAGAGAGTTACTCAGGGGTGTAAACGTGAGGAATTGGCATTTGTTAAAAGTAGGAGACAGATTTGGATGCCTCTTCATGTTTAGCATAAGTCATTTTGATGGGCTTTAAGTATTCATGAGAGCCACATTAGCAGGAATATCACGTTATTTGAGAAGTTTTTTTATGCTAAAATAAGCAAGGAAGAGATAAATTGAAAGATGGAAGAAAATAAAATTATATGGAATTGATTAGTAAATTTTTCTGAATGAATGAAATTTATTTTGTTTAGTAACCAAGCCTATCATATCAATTAATTTTTATCTAAGATAAGTTCTAGGAAATTTGAAAATCAAAAACAATTAAGCTATTTCTTCATTTCACCTTCCCCATTTGCTTTTTACTCACAATCATGGAGTTTAAAGAGTGTCACCTGCATCTGATGGTCAGGACTCAGCTTTTGTGCCCAGCGTTTTATTTAGAATCCTTTGGCAGATGAAACTGTTGATCATAGTTAGCTAGAAAACAGCTGCTTTTCTATTTTGATTTGGAGTTAATGTTTTCCAAGGGTCAAGCACATGTAGAGAAATTTTTTCCATAGACAGATATTACATATTTTATTTATATTTCTTTTGCTTTTAATGGTCCATGGGACTACTCAGAAAAGTGAGAGCCAATTAAAGCATTGACTGTGAATGTTTTTAGGGGGAAAAAAATCTCCCTTGGGTGTATATGAATGGGTCAATATCACATTTATTTTCGTTGACATTCTCAGCTACAGTGCTATATTATGGAAATATAATCTGCTGTCTATTTTGACTGAGTTAAAAATATGTAAGTTATATTTTATGTATATGTATTCTGCAAAAAATACATTCTATTGTCAGGCATAACTAAAAATAAAAAATAAGAGTATTAAAAATGCATGAGCTCTTTCATAGTTTTGAAACGTTTCTGCCTAAAGACAAAGCTAGGTGATTCTCAATAATCTTAGTTGTGGGTCTTTATTTTGTTGACTCATAGGTGGATACCTTGAGAAAGTGACCAGTTGGTAATCTAAGTTTAATGAGTATTTTTTAATTTCAGATAATTATATTTTATAGCTTCAGGTCAAAGATGAGAATAATTTACTTTCTCCTTTAACTTTGTGTTGTAATGAGAGGTTTCTTGTTTGTTTGTCTCTATGACATAAGTCTTGGTAAATATCTGAGCCCTATTTGTTTCACGTTTCTTTTAAGGCTAGCTCCCTGAAATTTAGTGCCAATTATGAGAAAATATAAGGCTGAAAACAAGTAGGATTGTTGTGTCCTTTAGTGGCAGGTGCAATATGGACATAGATGAGTGTGTGTCCTGGGTCACAGTAGCATATAGTCATGGGTGGACCTGAGAAGCTGAGAAAGCAGGAAGGAAGCACTGTGAGAGTTACTATGGTTCATCTGTGGTGCATCCCAGATGAGGGAGAATTGTCCTAGATTCTTTGGGCATCAGCTAGCCTAGATGGGAGACTCTATCTCTAAACCTGAGTTCTCAATAAAACCACAGTTTCCATATGGGTAGTGTCACTTGAGGTGCGATAGAACCTCTACTCGTGGTCCTCATGAAGGCAGGAGGAAGCTGCAGTGACCGTCTTGCTTTTTGTGTTTGCCTGGGTAGAAGGATACATGGGGAGGTAGCTCTAGCATTTTTGTTTTTTAATTATGTTTTTATTAGTGCATCCTAGTTAAACATAATAGTGAGGTTCATTATGATATGTTAATATATGCACATCACATAATTTATTCCATTGCATTTCCCTTTCCCTCCCATAACCCCCCATCTCCTTCATATACTCTACTGTTCTTCCTTTTTTTATTTGTTTAAATTGATACATTAGAATTCTACATAAAGGTGGAATTCATTGTGATATATTCATGGCATAATGTGGTCGATTTAATTTCCTGGTACTTCTACTTTCCCTCCCCTCTTCCCTCCCCTAGGATCCCCTTTTTTCTTTTCTGTTCTCCCTTCTCTCTTTGTGAGATTGCTTTTTTTTTTCCTTTAAACTTTCTTTGTTCTCTCTACCTTCCGTTTTTGAGAGAAGACATTCAACCTTTGACATTGAGAGTCTGGCTTATTTCACTTAGCATGGTGGTCTCCGGTTTCCATCCACTTGTCAGCAAAGAACACAATTCCATTCTTTTTTTTTATGGCTGAGTAGAACTTCATTGTGTATATACAACACATTTTCTTTATTCATTCATCTATTGATGGATTCCTGGGATGATTCCATAAAGTCTATTGTGAATTGCATGGCTTTGATTTTTTTAGAATAAATACTTCCATTAATGTTTTAAAATATCTTTTCTCCCCTGCAGGAACATTAAAAAAGACCTATGTTAAATCAAATGGAAGTGAACCTATGGTTACTGATGGTGAAGTTCAAGTGCCTGATGTTATTCTGATAAATACAATTTATAATGAGAGCACGATGGTACCTACTGTACATCCCAACCAACACATTCCAGCCTGGACTATGGATGCTTCTCTCCCCGGAGATCAAAATCACAGGAACACAAGTAAGTCTGACGGTTCTGAATATTAAGTGGCCTTTAATGTCTGTGAAACCCTCAGATAAGTTTTGTAGCTATTGATGCTCTGAGTTTGGTTGTGCACTGGTCTCACAAGTGAAATTCCATTCATCTGGTAAGCCTCCTCAGTTCCCTGTTCTTAACCATGAAATGCCGGCAGGTCAGCTGTGCAGAACAGAAAATGTATTAATGTCATTCAGCATTTCTGAGATAAATTTATGTGACTTGTCCCAATCTAAAAATGGAAGCTTCTATTTTAAAATTACTTTTTGAGATAATTAAGTTAGTAAATAAGTGACTTATTTTGTGGTTCATTCCTTGCTGGAGGAATCCTCATTCCATAACAGGAGATCAAATAGTTCAATTTCCATAACAGGAGGTCAAATAGCTGTTCCCCCACTTGTTTTTGAGGTGTCCATGTGTTCTCTGTATGTTGATTTCCAGTTTTTCCCTCTTTCATTGACTGTGTAAATTTATTTTACATGTTGGTGACTGACAAATAGTCACACCTTGAGAAAAATAGCATGTGCATGAGGACAGAGGGAGGGATTTGTTAGCTATTCCAGGAAGAGAGGAGGGAGAGAGAAAAAAGACAGTGTGGACCCAGGGCCAGTGAGATGACTCTATTCCTAAATAGACCTCAGGTCTTTAGTAAAGTTAGCTTCTCTACTTCTAGAATGCTTGATGGGAGTGGATTTGTGTGGAAAGTGCCAAAAAGCCTCAGTTCTGATTCAATCAGAACTAATAAAAAATAACTAGGATCTTTTTCCACAGTTGGTGTGCCTCTTATTTTTTACTTTCTTAAACAAGGTTATGTGATTGAAAAGTAAACCAAGGTCGCTCATCCATGATTATTTTCTTTCCTCTCTCTTTCATGAATATCCACAGAGGGATAGTACAACTTAAGTCTCGGACAGAATATTTATTTTTATTCTGAACAAGGAAGGGAAGGATTAATTTGACTTTTTGCTATCACAGTTCATGTGTGCTGGTGTTTGAGGAAAAGCAGGATTATTCTATTTCTCCAGCTCAAAAAAGACAGACTGTTTGGAGTCCATTGTTTCACAGAGCACCTATACATATTAAATATTTCTTATGCTTATTGTTCACCAGTGATTCATATGGAGACATGTTTATAACTGGGCTGTATATTGCAAACCAGGATTATGCCAAGTGAAATTTATTTTTCTCATGAGTTTAATTTTGAGGTTTTATATTTTGTTCATGTCTTACACACTTCATTATTCTTAAGGACAGTGTTTTTCACCAGAAGTACAGAAGTAATTTAAATAAAAATAAGTCCAGTTAGTGTGGCCGCAATTACAGCTATTGCTATTTTCTTTTACTAAGTGGATGTGTCTGTAGTTTGAAAACTCAAATAAGATTGACAAACACATACCCTAAAGAGTAAAGAAACAAATGGCAGTTTTTACTCAGTTTGAAAGTTAGACAGAAGTTTTTTTGATCATTTTCTTGTCCTGTGGCTGGAACATTGCTTGAGAATATGAGAATAATTTGATATGTAGAGGAAATCCATGTGAAATTGGAAGGATTAAATGGAGAAAGGCTGGAACCTTTGAACAAGTGTCATTCTGTGTTGTTAATGCACTTGACCGCATTGAGTTTTACTGTCTATCCATATAAACTCTTAGTGTATTGTCTATATTAACTAAACTTATTTACTGCAATGGATTTAATATTTTTTTTATACATTTCAGAAATAGTGCCAGGCTGTGATTATACAGCTTTTAACAGTTTTCAAGGTTGTGTTTGAATATTTTCTTTGTGATCTTTATTACCGATAAGACAGATAACATCATGTAACATTTTTCAAGATATAAAATTAAGTTGACACATCCAGCATCATTTGCTTAGGAATTGGTGGACATGTGATTGGGCTTTAGACCTCAGGACTCCAGAATTTCATGCGTCCTCATTTAGTTTCATTGCTTTCTTTGTAGTAGTAAGAGCATTACTAGATACATTTTGAGCTCTAAGAGAATAGAAAAAGTACTCTGTCATTTTTACTCTATAGAGCCAATGCTTAATAAAAATCAGTTGGGTGAATGAATAAATGCACTTCAAATTTTAATGTATGATCTATCAATTTTGTTCGTGATGATTGAGCACACTTCTGCCACTTGAGACTTACTTAGCCACTTCTTCTGAAAGTATCATTTAATGTCTTGCTTTTGTATTAATATCTAGCAGAGAATTTGTTTTTATTGCACTCCCCTTTTGTTATTATTATTCTCCAATTTAGATATTTTAAATTCCTGTCATATGTAAAAGCTATTTAAGTCTATACTAGTCTAAGAATACCATGTCAGACATCCTGTCTTACCCAGGTTTCTTGGATAAGAAACCAAGAAATGAACTCCTGGAAAAAGGTACCAGGAAATAGTCCTATTATAAGATATTTCCTCCTGAGGTCCTTAATATTATGCCAAAGCACGAATATTGCAGTTTGTAAACTTTTAACCAGAATGTCCACCATATTACACTGTGTGACACAGCTGGGCTTTGTGACTATGAAACAGACTTTATGTGACATCTGTTACTTAGAGTTTTGAAAACCAAGGTTAATATGGAAAAACAAAAGGCCTTCCTTTCTTCCTTCTTTCTTTTATTTTCTCCCCTCCCTCCCTCCCTTCCTTCGCACCTTTCATTGGTGATACATGTTTATTCTATACCCTGTCACCACACATCTCACACGCCCAGACCATTGCCAGGCTGAGAGTGCCACGTGGCTCTGAGCAACTAGAGGAAAAGGTCACTGCTCTTCTTTTCTTGGCCACTCTGGCAGAAAGCCATTCTGGCCTACTCAGAGTCAGTGAGGTCACAGTCCCATCCCCAGGCGTCAGGGATATCTCTAAAGAACAGTTTCCATTTGGAGCTTCCAAAATCCTGGGCATCTCTAGGAACCAAGCCTGGTTCCAAAAAGTCATTGTGAGTGCAGTCTGTGTGGATCCCAAGCACTTGGACCTAGTGTCCAGCAGCTTGAGAGGTGAAAAGCAGCCTCAGGAGAGACCACAGTGCAGCCTAGGTGCCCTGGGGTTTCAGGGACCAGGATTCTTTCTGTGGAGTTTGTGTCCAACTTGGACCCGCTGGGCAGCTTTCATCAGACCTTTGAACTGTCCTTGTAGCTTCACCTTCTTCCTGCGGGTGAGCTTGGTTCTGCAGAGCAGGATGTAGGCACAGGGACCAAGCCTACATCTTCACAGTACCCTTTGCTTTCTTGGACTTGTATTCTGTCCCAGGAGTGGCTTTCTTGCCCATGGGCAATGGATGTCAGAGGCTCCAGTTTGGTACTGATGGAGTCATCTCCATCTCTTCCTCCTCAGCCCCTTTCTGCTGCTTATACTTCTGCTTACTCCTGACACCACGTCTTCCATCATGTCAGCCATGTCTTCATCCTCACCTTTAGTGGTGTCCTCTTCCTCCACCTTGTCACCACCTTCCTCCCCAAGTGGTATCAGCGGGCCATCAGTGCTTACCTTGAAGCCCTGGTCCTTCTTCTTGCTGTGGCCAAGGACTCATTAGACCACCTTGGGATCCAGGAAGTTGAGGGGCTCGTCTGCCCAGGGCCGACTTGACCGTGTCCCAGGTATGGAAGGCCAGCAGCAGGCCACATGGTCTCTAGCAGCTGCCCCACTGTTTTCATCCACATCAATCCCTTTAAATTCCAAAAGGAGGTGGGTCAGCACCTGTTAACTTTCTTGCTGTGTTTCAGCAAGCGATTTTTCTAGGTTTCATTCTATTTATGGGTTTTAACTTTTTCTTCGAATACATTTTATAAATACTTGAACATATGTTGAGCTTTAAGGAAAGGGAAAAAAACTCTTTGACCCCCCCCAAGGGATTGGAGGTCACACACTACAATAACCTACATACTCCAATCAAGAATTAGTGACAAGAGTAGGTTGATGTGCTGAAAGCTTAATGTGTTCTGTTCTCTTTGATAACCAGTCCCTAAATCTTCTATTTCAGATAAAAATACACCATGCCTTTTATTCATGCACTTTTTAAAATAACTGCTTTTTGAGATTTAATTCACATACTCTGAAATGCACTCTTTCAATGTGTATGATTTAGCAGTTGCACAACTGTCACCATTAATTTTGGAATATTGTTATCTCTGCAAAAAGAAATTCCATCTCCATTGCTCCCTATTTTCCCTTTCTCATAGCTCCTTTCCTAAATGAATCTACTTTCTGTCAATAGATTTGCATATATGAACCTTTCATGTAAAAGGCATCATATAACACATGATCCTTTGTACCTGGCTTCTTACAGTTAGCATAATGTTTTCAGGGTACATTCATGTCATAGCTTGATACATTTGACAGCTTGATACATTTAGCTTGTGTCAAGATTTTATTCCTTCCTAGAGCTGAAAATATCCATTATATGGATACACCACTTTCTTTTTAATATATTGATCCATTGATGGATACTTCAGCTGCTTCCACCTTTTTAGTTAATGTTAACAATACCATGATTATTCATATACAAGCTTTGTGAAGACATTTATTTCCAGTTCTCTTTGGTTTATACCTGGGAATGGGGTTGTGTTTATTATCTACTTCCTTAATTCTAGTTGTTCTATTCATAATTGAGTGTGGATATTGAGGTTTCCAACTACTATTGTAGAACTGTTTCTTTCTTTCTTCAATTTTGTCAGTTTTTGCTTCACATTAGATATATAAATGTCACTAGGTATATAAATGTTTATAACTGGTGTTCTTCTTTTTGAATTGAATCTTTCATTAGCATCTAATGTTCTTCTTTGTCTCTTGGAACTAATTTTGATTTAAAGTCTATTTTTTTTATATCAGTACACCCATCCTGTTCTCTATTGGTTACTATTAAAATGGAATATCTTTTTATATACTTTAACTTTCAATCTATTTGTGTTTTTGGATAAAAATTGAATCTATTGTTGATAATAAAATTTTTTATCATATTGAATTCTGATAATCATTGTC